GCAAACTACCTTACTTATCCTAACGAATTGGTGAACATCGAGTTAATTACATGTCGAATTTGATGGGTTTTTCTCGTCTAAATTTAACTTTTAAAATGCTTGAATGATTATATTTTTTTAAATATTCTTTTCCTTCGCGTTCCCAGAGGAATGTAGGGCTTCAAGCTACAGACTTCAAGTTTCGGTAGCAGTGGTGTTTACTTTTACGGTGTGAAGTTGCTAGCCTCATGTTCAACCTTCCCTCTTTACCGGTCCTATTACCGGCCTAGCGAGGTTAAAGAGAGTCTCACTGGCTGGAGATCGAACCCCAAACCACATGACTGGTTGACGAGAGTTCTACCGCTAAACTATCGACACATTATAATAATAATATTACTGCTTAGCATTCTGAGGATCCCAACCAGACAGTTTACACCTCTCTACGTGTCTGGCTCAAACCAACTATCAAAGACTTCATGGATTAATTCCAGATTTTGATTTGACTATCCTATCTAAAAACATTTCTAATATTGTTCAACATGGAAGCCGATGGCTCGGAATGCGCATCCCGCGTTCTGGCCAACTTAATCGATTAGCTTATATTATGTATTTAATTATTTTCCCGTCGATCTCTCTGAAATTCAACTACACGCCCTATCACTGGTCCCCAAATTCTGTAACAGTTCGTCCGAAGTCAACAGATCGCATACTCAAGTGCAATTTGAAAATCTTATTAATCAGACCGACAATCTCACACCCACATTACCTGAGGAATTCCAACACTTTAAATCCACAGTTCTTGATTGCTGCCATCAGTTTACTAGTTCGAATAATCTTCTGACTAAAGAGCATATAGACTAACTTAAAGGACTAGAGAAGAATGATGATATTATCATATGCCATCCAGACAAAGGTGGAGGTGTTGTAGTCATGAATCGCCAAGATTATAATGATAAAATCTCAGTGGTCCTTTCTGACCAAACGAAATTTGCCAAACCCGACGGTGAAAAGAACAAGACACATTTAATTGGAAATCAACTGACTGATGTCTTACAGAACATGAGGAATAAGTCAGCAATATCGTCAGAAATATATGAACGCATCCGACCAGAAGGCTCCATTATACCTCGTTTGTATGGACTACCTAAAATACATAAGACAGGATTACCCCTCCTTCCAATCCTCGATATGGCGGGCTCTCCTTATCACGGAATCGCTCAATGGTTAGTTGAAATAATGGAATCAGTTAGAAGGTAAGTATCTAAGTTTTCCATTGATGATACGTTTAAATTTATTGATAGCATTAAAGATTCTAATGTCTCAGAGTCCTGTTCTCATTAGATGTGACGTCGCTATTTACCTATGTTCCTCTCATGGAAACTTAGTTATTTATGTGATTATATTGATACACATAGTTTGGAAATAGGTTTACCGAAAATCCACCTCAAAGAGCTTTTATTGAGATGTGCGTTGAATGTTCAGTTCACCTTCAACAATGAGATCTATAGACAGAGAGATGGCATTGTCATGGGATCACCACTGGGTCCCTTGTTGGCTGATTGTTTGATGGCAAAGCTTGAAAATTCTCAACTTAGTCAAACCATCGGTCATTTTTACATTTATAAAAGATACGTAGACGACACCTTCGTCATCTGAGATAATAACGTAGTTCTTGACGATGTCTTGGTTGCTTTCAACAACTACCATCCTTCTTTACAATTCACTATAGAAAAGGAATGTGAACGAAGTATTCCGTTTCTTGATGTGTGCCTCAGCAGACGTAATGACGGATTTCTTGAAAGATCTATCCACCGGAAACGTACATGGAACGGACAACTAACTAATTTTTACATTTGGGTGCCTATTTCCAGGAAAAGGAATTTAATTCATTCACTACGCTTTAGGATAAGGAAAACTTGTAGTTCTGATTGCGTTGACTCAGAACTTGACTTCTTGAAAGCCACACTCGCAGAAAACGGTTACCCTAACCGATTTATTGACATCAACATGAAAGATAAGCAGTCTAAACTGGTCACCGACTCAGTTCCAAAGAAAACCTTATTCATGAACTTGGAATTCAAAGGTGATCAAGCTTCAAATATGCTCAAAAATCATCTCTCTAAATCAGTCAGTAAGACGTTCCTTGCAGCAAAATTACATATGACGTTCACGAGCCACAAATTGTTCTCTACTTCTGTAAAAGATAAGCTCCCCCGTCTGGCCGCCTCCATGTGCATCTATCAGTTCACCTGCTCTTGTGGAGCAAGGTACATTGGCCGTAGTCAGAGGACGCTCTCCACACGGATACGAGAACAAATTCCAGCTTGGTTTTACGAGGGAGAAAGGAAATGTGTGCGAAGCTGTATTCTGGAACACCTGATCGATCAACTTCTGTCACTCGGTCAACCCCGACCATGATTTCAAGATCATATATAGAATCCATGCTAGCTTCCCGCGTTTTCTTCGTTACAGACTTCTAAAGACAGTTGAGGCCTTGGAAATTCACGACTTTAAGCCAGACCTTTGTGTACAAAAGAAGTACGTACAATCCCTACTTCTGCCTTGGCCGTAGAGGGATAGACATTTATTTATTTGGTTTATTTAGTTATTCTATGTACCTTTCCCTTATTACTACAATTATTACTATCATTATTATTATTAATACTATTCTCACTCTGAATCTTTTCCACTTGACCCACTTGCCATTTAACACGCAAAATGACTAATTTTTATATTTTTTATTTTTACAATATTGAATTCTATCTTATCAAATTCCACACCGTGTTATGTAACATTTCATATTCGTCTACTAATCTTATAATTATGTATACCTTTGCAAAATCTATATACCTTAAATATTATTGTATATATGACGTTAATTATTTTGCCACTTGATATTAAACCATGATTATAATCACAAATTTTTTAATTGCATTTCATAGTATTATTATTTCATGTATTCATACCTTTGACCTAATTCCCACACTGGATATAATTTCCTTTAAAAAAGCATACATATATATACGATTGTACAGCTTGATAATAAATTCGTTGAAAAGATTCTCTTCGCTGAATATTGTGTACTTTATAGTACAACTGCCCTGACTGCTATGAAAACATAGTTCACGAAGGATGTTTTTGTGTGATGACGAATTGTTGCTTTGAGCGCATGATGGTGGTTTAAACTTTCTAAGCAAATAGAATCCTGAGAACCTATCAAGGGTACGAACAGGAGACCTATAAATACGTGTTTGGGGCGTATCCTAAAGTTTTTAGAAGCCCTAGCTAGCAGTTAGAAAAGTTAAACCACCCTTATACGTTTAAAGCGACAATTCATCATCTCACTAAACCACCTTCCCTGGTAAATTTTGTTTTGATAACAGTCAGGACAGTTGTACTACTACCTTTGTTATTTAGTTTAGTGATTTTCATTGTGTTTTTACCTTCAATATGTTCATTTAACGTGACCTAAGTAGTTTATTTTCTCACCTCTTAACTCTTTCATATATACAAATTCCTATGACAAGTCCGTGTGTATGTGTATGTGAACAGATTGTTCGAAGTGTGTTGCGCAAATACAACATTACACGATTCAGTCAAATTACGTCTTCTTATTACTTTGTCTAAATAAGTTCATTTCATATATCACAAAGTAATGCAGGATTTATTGCTCATGAATGAGTTGGTTGTTTGGTTTATTTCTAATGGAAATTATGGCGAAATTTCGCCAGTCAAATTGTGAATTCGATAAATACACAGATTTGATAGTGTGAAATATTCCCATATTATGAATTAAAAGTCAATCTGAACGAAGAATATTCGTTTCGATAATTTCTCTTCAGGTTCTTACAACTATAAAATGTTGGCGTTAAAATAAAGGCCAGTTATGCGGCGGATACATTTTTAACGTAGAATAACAGATTAGTTATGGGGTTTCAAAATAAATAGTCGTTTTTGTGTGACAAACGTGCTAGGCTGAAATCGATTATAAAATATTGTAAAACGGGAGACAATGGTGGTGATTAATCATAATAGATTTGTAGAGTGTGGGGTAGGAAAGCTGACAAGTCAGTTCAAGGTTATCGAAGGTGTTAGGTGAGTGGCTGGCACAAAGTGGTCTGTGTTAAACAGGAGATAGTAAGACTGCAATGAGAGGTTCATAATGAAATAACGAACACATGAAATGAAACAGGTGGAGGCATATATTGAGAAAACAGATAATATCACTAATAATAAGTCCAGATAGTATAAGTGAAAACTCGACAGTAATGAGGGAATGTTTGCATGAAGGGCATAAATTATGACGAATAATAATAATTGTAGTGATAATATTTGTAATAATAAGCAAAGGGGAAAAAAGCGAAGAGGGTTAAGGGGAAGGAGCACTCTTGGTGAGAAGAATCATCAATCCAAGTTTGGCCACGGTAGGAACAGCGTCTGGGCGTGTTCTTTTTGGATACAAAGTTCCGGTTTAGTCGATCTTATTGCAACCGCTCCAGCTATGTGTAGGAGACGTAATCGAACTGTACGTGATAACAACTTCAGAATTCGGTATATAACCCTGAAAGCTGTGTTGACACTGATACGATGTCCAGTATCGACCAAGTGTGAGAGGATCGAGCTTTTTATGCACTTAATTTATCCCCTGCTGAACCAAGCTGGTAAATGTTCAAGAACCCATAAACGAACCTGCCTAATCGTGCGCCCTATATAACTTGAACCAGAGGAATAGTTGAAATGGTATATGCATGAAGAAGAGCTAAGGTTAGGTAAGACATCTTTGAGTTGTTGGGTGAACATTGGACGGCTACTGAAGGACAGACACAGACGTGCAGTTCCACAAGTAACTGTCCTTTATTGTAACGACAACAAATATTATATTTTATAATTTTAAGAACCTGAAGAGAAATTATTGAAAAGAATATTCTTCGTTCCGACTGACTTTTAAATACATATATGTATTATAAACCTAGCAAAATACTGTACATTTAAGAAAAATAATCACCAAAAAACAAACTAACCTTACTTTCTTCACCTTCAACAACTATTAGACCAGGTTTACCAGGCATACAACAACCAGTTAAGTCTAATTCTTTGGACCATTCCAAAATTAAACGTCTTTTAATTGGACTTCTAATATGATGACTAATAATCCATAAACAAGCTATGCATGGCTTATTATCATCATCCAGTAGAGTTTGGTTGGTTTGTATAGATTCGACAGTTTCATTTAGCATAAAAGAACCATTGATAAATTCATTTTGAAGCCAATCTATAGATGCTACTAATACTGGTTCACCGTTATTGGCTGTTTCATCTAACCATTGATTAAATCGTGAAGATAATTCACGTACATTTATTCCATGATTTGAAGGATCTGATGAGGATGATGATAATAATAAACGTAGAGTAACTAAGGGTTTAACTGGAAAACATGAATTCCATGATGGATATCCATCAGGTAGAACAACTGATAATTCTACTTTATTTTCAAGCTAAAATAGGATAGACAGGAAAAGAAAGAGGTATAATATTAAGTGCTAAAATCACTCAGTTGACAATATATGATGCAATTAAGTATCTCTCCTTAAGGTTATAAATCGAGCAACTCCCAGATTGACTCGTTACCATCAGAGAATAATCTTGTTGACACAGAATATACAGATGATATAGTCCTCTTTCCTAGGTGAAAACCCTGAAAAAATGCTGACCGGATCTTCTAAACACCTTGAGGAGTAGGAGTCTTCAAATGTTTGACGTACGATTCTCTCCTATCTAGTGTGAGATGATGCTACAGAACTGGACTGGACTATGTTGACTCCTCGCTTGATGACAGGCAAGAATGAAGTGATAGAGAGTGTTGACCAATTCACTTATTTGGGAGGTTGCGTCAACCAACGCCAACGGGTTGATCGCTAACGAAATCAAAGCACGGTTACAGAAGCCTCGTTTGACATGTGACAATTTACGCCGTCTCTGGCGTAGACGTGGATGGAGCGGACAGCTGAGCAGTACACCCGCCCTTTGGTCGATAGCGGGATATCACGTCAACTAAGCCAGATATGGTGTAAGTTGGCACATGTCAAACGAGGCTTCTGTAACCGTGCTTTGATTTCGTTAGCGATCAACCCGTTGGCGTTGGTTGACGCAACCTCCCAAATAAGTGAATTGGTCAACACGCTCTACCACTTCATTCTTGCCTGTCACCAAGCGAGGAGTCAACATAGTCCAGTCCAGTTTTGTAGCATCATCTCACACTAGATAGGAGAGAATCGTACGTCAAACATTTGAAGACTCCTACTCCTCAAGGTGTTTAGAAGATCCGGTCAGCATTTTTTCAGGGTTTTCACCTAGGAAAGAGGACTATATCATCTGTATATTCTGTGTCAACAAGATTATTCTCTGATGGTAACAAGTCAATCCCTGAGTCGCTGAAGTCACTTAGGGTTACGTCCATTAAGACGTCTATGACGAAGTTGAATAGAAAGGATGATAATAAGCATCCCTGATAGACACCACTAGTTGTCACCACTTTAGACGACAAATTGCCGTAGACTCTCAACTGGCTGCATGAGTAGTAGAGTGCCTTGATCAGTGCAACGTATTTTCTCGGCATTCCTTTTACAGCCAAACATCGCCACAGTACCTCTCAGTCGACAGAATTGAATGACACCTTAAGGTCAAGAAATATAAAGATTGTTGGACGCCCGTAAGTAAGCCCATGTTCCAGAAGCTGTTGAAGGGTGAAAATATGATCAATACACCCTCTTCCTGGTCTTAAGTCTATTATGGATAAGATTTTATTTCGATAAATCACACAGTGTTGTACAGTTATATTAACTGGTGACGCTTCGAGCACAAACTATTGCTCATAATCATATCAAGTAACTCACACAACTTTTTCCTTTCATTTATATACATGGGTGGAATCGATTAGATGTTGGATTTAAAATCAATGTGAGATAATATCCATTCAGAAATAATAATATGAGTGTTATTGACCCATTACAATTATGTGGGGAATACGACTGTTTATACGAGTGTTTTTTTGTTTTTTTGAAGTCATAATAAGTTACTTGTTCTGTCTGTCTCTGTCTGTTTTCGACATAGAACTTTGCACCGATGTGCGGAAGTTCAAGTCCCCACACTCCCTCCATGTTGCACACAAAGCAAGAGAAGAAAGTAGAAGTGCATAATAGAGACAGTAAACAGAGGGGTGAGACAAAGGAAGAGTAATAACGAAGAACAAAACAGTTTCATTGGAGATCATAAGTCACAAGGAGTGGATGCATCTTCGCCAGCCACTGAGAACGATTTTGAGCCATGTCACCAACTGTTTCCAACCATAGAGTTTTACCGTCCCGAGGACCCCAACCAGCCTGGAAGTCTACACCTTCCTACGTGGCTTAGACCAACTGTTGTGGATTTCATTGACTGATTCCAAGTTTTTGTTTGACCGCCGCTAGCTTTTTTCCAGCCTGACCCTATATCCGCTAACATTGCTCGTCGAGGAAGGCGATGACTAGGCTACCATACGTAACACATGTCCTAACCACCTCAGTCTTTGTAACTTCACGACTTCGTCGATTGATTTCCCATTTTTACCTAGAACTCTGCGCCTAACCTCAATATTGCTCACCTTATTATGCCACTTCACACGGGAGATAGAACGCAGGCACGTATGATCAAAGACAGCTAGACAATCTTTTCATGTCTTCCACTCTCAGTGGCCAGGTCTCACAGCCATAAAGGAGGACGAAGCAGACTGATGAACAGTACACTCGCCTTTTGGTCGATAGCCAGCCGGATATCTCGTCTGCGCCAGAGACGGCGTAAACTGGCAAACGCGAAACGAGCCCCCTGTATTCGTGCTGAGATTTCGTCAGAGATCAACCCGTTGGGGCTGATGGTACTTCCTAAATAAGTGAAGCGGTCAACGTGCTCTACCACTTCACTCCCTATTTATAAACTAGCAGTCAGTGTAGTCCAGTTAAGTGCTGTAGCATCATCTTACATTTGGCTGGAGCGAATCGCATGCCAAACATTCGTAGATTGCAGCTCAAGGTGTTTGGAAGACTCTGCATTTTTTCAGCATCCTCGCCTAGAAGGACTATATCGTCTCCATATTCTAAGTCAACGAGATTATTCCCTGGTAGCAAGTCAATCCCTGAATCGCTGAAGTCACTTAGGGTTAAGTCCATTAACACATCTATGAAGTTGAATAGAAAAGGGGATAATGGGCATCCTTGACGGACACCACTAGTCGTCACCAGTTCAGAACACAGCTCGCCGTAAGCCCTCACCTGGCTGTATGAGTACGAGTACAGTGCCTTAATCAGTGCAATATATTTTCTCGGAATTCCCTTTACAGCCAAGCATCTCCAGAGAACTTCTCGATCGACAGAGTCGAATGCTGCCTTTAGGTCAAGAAATATAATGACTGTTGGACGCCGGTAGGAATGCCTATGTTCTAGAATCCGTCGGAGGGTGAAGATATGATCAATACATTCCTGGTCTAAAGCCTGCCTGACTCTCTCGTGTTTTTGCCTCCTGAGCACCACTCAGGCTGCGCATGATTATTGAGCCTAAGACTTTAGATACTATATTAGTCAAGCTAATCCCTCTGTGATTATCACAGGAAGACTTGTCTCCCTTCTTGTATATGGGGATAATCAGTGACTTACACCAACCCGATGGGACTTCTTCTAATTCCCAGACGCTGCCTAGTACCTCAGTTAATGCAGACAGCAAACTGTTTCCACCGTACTTAAATACCTCTGGAGTCATTCCATCAGGTCCTGTTGCTTTACCTCGTTTCAGATTAGTGGGAACCTTAGTAACTTAAGTTAGCGACGGAGGACCTGTGTCTATATCCCATTCATAGAGGTGTTGGATGCTCGGAAGGTTGAGCATGGCTGTGGGCCAATTAAACTGCTCCTCATAATGCTCTTTTCTGCGATTCAGTCGTCTATCCTGGGAGCTAATTATAGTGTCATTTTTCTCCGAGATTGTTTCACTAATGATTTGTCTTCTCCCAATCGTTTCCCTGATGAGTGTAAATAGTTGCCTGGTGTTGCCTATCCTCGAAGCTTTCTCCATCTCTTTGGCTTTTGTCACCCACCACTGTTCACGGTCCTTACGGAGACTTTTCGTAATCCAACATCAAGTTACTTGTTAGAATGTTTTGATGTGTTTAAATTGAAATATAAATGGGCGATCAACCTCTCATCAAGGGAACTAAGCTCTAGTGAGATAAAAGTACTTGAAAAAGGACTAAATTTCAAAGTAACAGTGAGTAAATTAGAACCAGAGGATGTCATTCCTAACATAGAAATACTACTACGTTCAAAAGATAAGACAACAGCAGAAGAGGTTCGAGCACAATGTGCATTAACCCTGAAAAGTCAATAGAAGGCAAAATCAAAATTAAATCGGAAAGAGAAGCTTTAATTAATCTAAGACAGGATAAAAATATTGTCATCGCAAAAGCCGACAAAGGAAACGCCACCGTAGTTCTGAATAAATCTGACTATATCAAAAAAGTTACTGAACATATTCAGACGGGTCCATATAAGGAAATTAAGAAGCCTATAAATACAATAATGAGTAAGGTTAAGAAATCTACAGCAGAACTAATACGCAGAATGGAGCCGTAAGTGGGTGGGTCTAAATGGTTTAATTTAATGCCTAAAATTAATAATGCTAGTAGAATGTATGGTACTATTAAAATACATAAGCCAGGTTACCCCCATAAGATCAATAGTAGATTTTAGAAATACCCATCCTTATGAATTATCAAAACACTTAGCTCTAAAAATATGCCTCATTAGAAATCGTTCAAACTCTAGATTAACTAATTCATATGAGATGAAAAATAAAATAAATGACATTCAACTAGCGAATGATGAAACAATGGTTAGTTTTGATATAACTAGTCTTTATACTTATATGCCAGTCAATATGGCCTTAGAAGCAGTTAAAAAAGAACTAACTGCGGATCCTGAACTCACTCATAGTACAAAGCTGCCCATTGAAGAAATTATTTTAGGGATTCAGTTATGCCTCACATCTACTATCTTTAAGTTCCAATGCAAGACATATAGACAAACAGGTGTAGCAATGGGATGGGTCACCCTATTGTAGCAGACATACTTATGGGCAGCTGGGAAAAAATAGCTCTTAACACATTTAATCCCTACTCCAAAAATATGGTGGAGATATGTGGATGACACTTACACAGTGTTAAAAACAGAACATATCTCTAGCTTCTTGACACATAAACTCACAAGTAGAGGGAATAAAATTCACATTTGAATCGGAAAATGAACAAGGAGAAATAGCTGTGCTGTTAGATTGTAAAATAAAACGAATAGAAGAAGGTAAACTACACACTAGTGTGTACAGAAAACTAACTCATTCTAATAGATACTTAGACTTTAATTCATCTCATCCGTTGACTGTTAAGGCAGGCTTAGTTAAGTGTTTAACAAACCGAGCAGTGGCACCAAGCAGCACAAAAAAAGATCTAAATGATGAATTAAAACAGATAGAAGAAGCGTTGGTGTTGAATAACTATCCTATAAAATTCATTAGGAAGATCGAAAAAGGCCAAAAGAAAAAATTAATTGTGAAACTAGTAATAATAACATAAATAAGAAAGAATATAAGTCATCCACAGTTATACCATATAAAGAGGGGACATCTGAGACCCTACGTAGGATTCTAACTAAAGCAGGAATTAGGGTGGCATTTAAACCTGCAAACTCACTCAGAGACAAGCTCTGTAGGCTAAAAGACCCGGTGGACCCAATTAGACAAAATAATATAATTTACAAAATACGCTGCAAAGACTGTGTGTGAGGTCAACTACATAGGTCAAACTAGTAGGTCAGGGATAGTCAGATTTTCAGAACATAAGAATTTAGCTAAGGTTAGAATGGTTGACCCCACCCGCGAAGATAAGTAATTTAGAAAAAAGCTCAGCTATTGCACTTGACGCAATAACAAATAACCACACAATAGGGTGGGATAGGGTTAAAATTCTAAAAAAAGTAATCTATGTAGGTGGAGAGAGAGGTTGACTACGGAATCCTTATTCATCGAGTCTACACCCAACACATGTAACAGAAATGATTCAATGCAAAAACCAGAAATATGGAAGATGTTATTACCTCAAGTCAAATCAGAAGAGGATAATAAATAATGAATTGAATTTTTGATTTTCCCGTCGATTGATTGGACCGAAGTGCTCCGTCTCAAGTTGACATGTCGGCTTCTTGTGCAGATGCTTCGACGATGTCTGGGCATTTAATTAGTATACAATTGGTATCATGTCAACCTGACACCGAGCACTTCGGTCCAATCAATCGACAGGAAAATCAAAAATTCAATTCAATAATTAATATGACCTGTTGCACAAGAGGTGGCTCTCGTGGCCCAAGTGGTCTAGTGGATAACGCTTTGGCGTTTGAAACTATGGGCACTGGGTTCGAGCCTCAGTGGGAACATCATCACTCACTGAGAAATGCAGGTACATCCAGATGACGAGTCCCAATTAGGACGAAATGTGCATCCTGGATTCCACTGCTAGGCACCATCCACCAATTGTATAGGATAATAAATAATCTTAAAATTCTATTTAAATTCAAACACATCAAAACATTCTAACAAGTAACTTATTATGACTATAAAAAAACAAAAAAACACTCGTATAAACAGTCGTATTCCCCACATAATTGTAATGGGTCAATAACACTCATACTATTATTTCTGAATGGATATTATCTCACATTGATTTTAAATCCAACATCTAATCGATTCCACCCATGTATATAAATGAAAGGAAAAAGTTGTGTGAGTTACTTGATATGATTATGAGCAATAGTTTGTGCTCGAAGCGTCACCAGTTAATATAACTGTACAACACTGTGTGATTTATCGAAATAAAATCTTATCCATAATGGACTTATACTCTACCACAGTGCCCAAGTTTTATACTTATATGGTCTTAAGTCTACCTGGTTCTCTTGAGTTTGTGCCTCCCAAGCACCACTTAGTCTACGCATGATTATTGAGCCTAGAACTCTAGATACCAGCATATTAGTCAAGCCTATTCCCTTGTGATTATTACAGGAAGACTTGTATCTCTTCTTGTATAGTGGGATAATCAATGACTTACACCAACCCGATGGGACTTTATCTGATTCCCAGACGCTGCCTAATACCTTAGTTAACACAGACAGTAAACTGTCTTCATCGTACTTAAATACCTCTGGAGTTATTCCATTAGGTCCTGTTGCTTTACCTCGTTTCAGATTAGTGGGAACCTTAGTAACTTAAGTTAGCGACGGAGGACCTGTGTCTATATCCCATTCATAGAGGTGTTGGATGTTCGGTAAGTTGAGAGTGGCTGGATGAAATAAGTTCAATGTAAAGAAACTATGAAACATGAGCTTTGTGTACAAACCCTCAAGAGCCTTACCAAGCAACATTTATATCAGTAAAAATTACATAAGCCGTAAATTTGAGAGATAATATAGCTCTAATACTTACATTAATTACAAAATCTATATCTGTTTTTTCAGGGAGAACATTCAATTCTGCATGACACTTGATATTTTGATAGGCTTCTTTATCGCCTAGTTTAATCTCATTTTCTGAAAACATTGACAGCAAAAGTTCAATTTCGTCTATTTTGCTTTTCAATGAATCGATCTTCCGTTTATCCATGCTTGGCCATATGTACGGACAACTCAAAATCTTCTCAACAAATGTATCATTATTTTGAAAGCCTTAATAGATGAGAATATCACAAAATATTTTGCGCTAATTAATTTTTCAATAGTACACAATGAAATTTTTAAAACAAAAGCTTTCAAATAGTTGACAAAGAAAGGACTAGCATAATAATATTGATATAAGGTAACAGGCGATTCGTCACGGAACCCCAACTATCACCATCGACCAGTTACATGGGAAGAGGGGAGCATTGATCTGTAAACCTCTACGAAATGGTATTTAACAGCACTTTTTATGCCTTTTTCATTGCTGCAGCATGATGTGGATCTTGGAAAGACCCAGAAGAGTTTTGGGGGGATTTGAAAGCACTTCTATCTCGCAAAATTACGAAACGGTAAATTCGTCACATCATGTCACTTCTAGTGGATTTGCTTAAGGTGTGGTATACACCAAGGATTGGCTTCAGTTAGTTATGACGAAGTTAAACTATAGCAGATAACCCGAAGGACCTTTCCACTCACTTTAAACAACTAATCACAACTGATGATTGTTGAAGAGATAATTATAAAATATGATGTTCAGATACCCGCTTTCATATCTTATTCTATTCTTTAATCTACTACATCTATGGTTCACAGAGTAATCAGACAGTCGATATTTCTGGAACTTGCTGTGACGATGGGAGCTAGTAAAACACCCCCTGATAGTCTCTTAAACCCATGCCGCCAACTTCATATTGGAGCACTTAACGACAGGACTCTTTGCAAATTGGTCGACAGGCATCAATAGCCAGTGCTCTGGAATCTCGAGCTATGGATATATGTTGTGTTTCGGATACACGCATACATGACCTGTGTGTGGTCATTCACATAACCCCACTCGAACAACTAAGTGAATCTGCAAAATTCACCTTAAGGGTGTTGGGAGACCCCTCAGCTAGTTCGCGAGGACTCGCAGATGTAGGGATAGCATTGAGTGTTAGGGCAGGAAAATCACTTCTTGACTGGATCCCAGCAGATAGTCGTATGTATGCAGCCTGTCTGAGCGGGTCCGTCAGAAGGAGGAAGGACGGCGTCGCCCATCGTTGCCTTCTAATAGTCTCCCCTTATGCTCCAACCGACTGCAGTTCGGATGAACTGAGGGATGATTTCTACCAGAAACTGTCTAGTTTGCTGCAAAAATCAAAACACTCAGATATAGTAGCTTTAACAGGCGACTTAATTGCTCAAGTAGAGAATTTAGGCCAGAGTGAGAAGTATATTCCGATCAGATTACAGATAAGGTCAAATTGATTTTTATACGTAAGGAGTTCCATGCAGAAGAACTGGCAATAGTGATCCTCCTCTACAGTTCTCTTCAGATAATTGTCTGTTCCTAGTAAGCACTAACTTCAGGCAAAAGAGAGACATTTCCAAACCTGACGACCTCCATCACTAGATAAACTCTGGATTCAATATGCCTGCGTTTAAACATGCGGCTACCCTAAAACAACTCGTGTTCAAACTTTTGTTCCAGATTCAGATGATAAGGATGGTAGGCTCTTGTGGCCTGTGTTAATCCTTGCATAGGATATCTCTGCAGAGATCTAACTTCTCTTTAAAAGCGTTCACCGATGGAGCTGATACTACTGAACCAGGTAAGGAGTTCCAATCGTTGACCACTCTGAGAGAATCTAAATTCTGCACGTATTTTAATCGTCCTCGGTTTGAGCACCTTTTTACGGTGACCCCGTAAATGTATCCTAGAAGGAGAGAAAATGTTAGAAAGGTCAGTTCCTAAATCACCCTTAAGTATACGGTATGCTAAAATTAAGTCGCCTCTCTTCCTTCGCTATGATAACGGGAAGAGATTTAAATGCTCTCTCCTCTTATCATAAGGAAGGTATGAGATACCACAACTAATTTTGTTCCTACTCTCTGTACTCTTTCCAGGCATGGACTCGCCGCCAGTATGCAGTATTCTAGATGAGGCCTGACATATGTTGCATAGAGTATTTGGAACATGCCCTCGTCTAATCGTTTGAAAGCCCTTCGAATTGCCCATAGCATTCGAAAAGCTTTAGCTGCGGCTGCATTGCAATTTGCAGTTGTTTTCAAATCATTGCTGACAATGATTCCTAGGTCCTTCTGTTCGTTAACATCAGGTAGTTCTGCGTCCCCTAGGGAGTACGACGTATAAGACTTCTGACCTAAGTGCATTACCGCGCTTTTCCTAGCATTCATTTCCAAACTCCATAGGCTTGACCACTCAGCTAATTTATCTAAATCAGTTTGTAGGGCCGACCTATCCTCGTTATTATTTACGGTTTTCCATATCTTAATGTCATCTGCAAATAATAATGAAGATGAAGAAAGAATCCCTGGTAATTCGTTAACGTATAATAGGAATAGCAAGGGACCTAATACAGTTCCCCGGGGCACTCCACTGGATACTGCTTTCCATCCTGATAGTACACCGTTAACTCTAACCTTCTGTCTTCTATCCATTAAGTAATCTCTAAACCACTCACACAGGCATTTGTCTAGTCCGAAACCTTTAAGTTTACTAAGGAGACCTAAGTGGGATACTTTGTCGAACGCCCTGCTAAGATCAATAAAAACCACGTCCAACAGATGGTTCCTATCTCTGGCCTCAACCCAGTCTTCCCTAGCCAGTAGTAGGTTTGTCAAGCAGGATCGTCCTGGTCGGAATCCATGCTGTTCCACAGCCAACAAGCCATGTGTTTCAACATAAGCTAATAGTTGATCCCTTATAATAGTTTCCAATACCTTTGCAATAATGCATGTCAGACTTACCGGCCTGTAGTTAGATACCAATTGCCTATCCCCGTCCTTGAAGATAGGGCTTATAATGGCATCCTTCCAGTCCCTGGGTAGCTTAGCCTGCGTCAGAGACATTTGGAAAATCTCCGTAAGCGGAATATATATTATATCCGCCAAGGAAATTAACAGCTTAGGGTGAAGTCCATCCGGCTCAGGTGATTTACCTGGCTTCAGTTTAGACAGTAGTTTGAGAACCTTTGTGTGCTCTACCACAATTGAGGGCATCTGAGTGGCGATGGCAGTGACCTCGCCATATCCCTGTGTGGTACTATCAGACGAGAAGACGTCACAGAAGTATTCAGAGAGGTTTTCAGCCTTTCCTTCGTCTGACTCAGCCGCTTCTCCACTAATGGTTATGAGTGACGGTATACCACTGCTAGTTTTAGTCCTACGTTTAATATACGAGTAAATCCTTTTTGGGTAATGAACGCAATCTAGTACTAGTCGTCTCTCGTACTCTATACGACTCTTGTTAATCGCATACTTACAGAGATTTCGAATTCTGCGGTAGTTTTTCTGGAAAATTTCCCTTCCTGTCATAACAAATTGGTCTCATAAGTTCTTCCTCTCTCTTAATAGCCTCCATATTTCACTAGTAATCCAAGGTAGCTTATACGATAACTTTTGAGGAAAACACTTAGGTACAAAGGATGAAGTGACACAATCTAGAGTATTCCTAAATCCCACCCAGGCTTCCTCGACAGTCCGACTTGTATCAACCGACCAGACAGCTAGATTTGCTGCGTTCCGGATTCCTTGTATATCCGCTTTCCAAATGTTTGGACGAGCAGATTTTGACCTATGAATAAGAGAATGAATCTTAAAAGTAAAAGTATTGACTACGTGGTCACTGCTGCCAAGTGGCGGAAGGCACCTAATCTTACCAACATCCTCCTTCTGGTGTGTCAATACTAAGTCTAGAGTAGATGGATCATGTTCAGGATGATACCGTGTTGGTGCATGCATATGTTGCACTAGTGCACATTCAAGCACCGTCAATGTGAGCTCCCTATTGAAACAGGTATACAAACTAGTGGAGTTTAATTCCCCCCAATTAATATGTGGAGCATTAAAGTCTCCAACAATCAGACACCTATTTCTACTACCCCACGCCCTCAAGTGATTTAGAACGAAGTCATCAGCTTGGCTAGCAGGACTTCTGTAAATAACTCCGATCGTTAAAAAGCCTTTGTTCAAGTTAATGATGCAACTTGCGGCTTCACTGGTGCCGCTGTCATGAGCTTCTGACAACGTTGACCTGATCCCTATGTCATCCCGGATGTATAGAGCGACCCCCCCCCCACCTTTCCGACTACTTACTCTGTCTGCTCGTATGCAGATATATCCAGGTATGAGTGGAGTTAAGTCTATTCCCACTAACAACCATGTTTCACTGATAGCAATCACATCAGGTTGTAGTCTTTCAGATAATTCTCCTAATTCGGCGAGCTTATTCCTAAGACTACATGCGTTAGTATAGCACACCGATACACCTACGTGTTAACCCGGGTTATGAAGAGAGGTCTCGGCAGCATCGGTTTCCGAGGTCCTTTTCGCTTTTCTCTAACCTGGCCTTTAGTTCAGCCACGGCTTCTCTTCTTTTGACTTTATCTTCTAAAGGCCAATCGGGCCTTATTTTTAGACTTTTATCGTTGATTTTGAACGCGGTGTCGAGGATGGTCCTTCTCTCTATTTCGTTCCCTAAAATTATCTTAAGTAGTCGTCAAGGAGTTCCTGTAGCATCAGGGTCTCGTTTTCCGATCCTGATGGCCTTTCTTACGTGTACTCCAGTTGTTTTATCGGGAAGTATTTCCCGGATAATGGAGCTAATCGCCTTCAGATCATCTGCATGTCGGACAGCTGGATCTGTGTTCTTAGATTCCTCCAAATTCCAGATGATAATACTGTAACTAGAGTCCGTGGGTTTCTGAGTTTGGCTGGTACTAATAGCCGTCGAGACCTTGTTGGTAAACTCGGCTACTGTTTCTTTCTTAGTTTTATTTTGCTTCTTACCCTTCGACACCAAACAAGTGGAGTCGGTTTCTTCTACTATGTTTTCGCTGCGACTAGAAGTAATTCGTGCACTAGACACGCTGCGCTTTGGCGTTACTATTTCACAGACTGGTGTTGCCATGCTGGCACTACTTGCCCTTTTGGATTTCCGTTGTC